TATTTGTGTTCCAGGCCGGATTGGGCGATAGTTTTGCTACGATTTGGAACAATGCAAATGATCGACTGCGACAGTTTGGATTGAACTCGTTCGAGGTGGCTGGCTATCGTGTTGATCCGTTGCATTTGGTGATAGCCGTCCTTGGATTCGTACTTTCCGGCCCAATGATGTTGGCTATCGTCATAGCAGCTATCGTCATATCTCAGTCTTCAAGTGATAATGCGGCTCCAGCGCCTGCGCATGCAGCTCCTGGCCGAAGTGCTGATGTGAGTCCTGGAAGCAGTTCATACTTTGCACAGGGTGACAGACCACAGTCGAGCAGCAAACCAAAAAGCTCTGGAGTGTTCACGGGTAGTGGGCAACGTTTGGGTGGTTAAATCTGTACCAGTCCTACCTTTCATGATTTTCCTTTTTTGGTTCAACAGTTTTTTTTCTGTATAACTATACATGTGTATTTCATACAGATATTACAGAGTGTGACTTATATGATTTATTGCTCTTGTACATAGCCAAGATAACACTCCACATTGACTGTGATTGTCTATCTTTCTGTTATCACATGATTTGGTCTTTGTTTTCTTCAAGGGTTTCAAATAAATAATTTATGTTCGGTTCTGGAATCTTGAAGTTGATGAATTTCATTTATATGCCGATGTGATTGGATAATCTAAATAGAAATTGTGCCTTCGAGCGTATTTTTCTTTTTTCTTTGTCAGAGATAAAGAAGCTTCTGTCACACATGTCTATCTCTTCAGAATTTTAGTAGGCTCTCTGAAATTACCGGCTTTTTAGGATGCTAGCCCTAAGGGGCTCCTTCATGCTGGGTAAAGCCATTCCATGTTGTTCTACCTCTATCTCATTACCTCAAAGGCGATCTCCGCAGCAGGTTCGTTGGCTCTTTCACAGTTTGCATTTATTTGTTGTTTGTTTATCTGTGTATTTATTCGTTTATCTTCATATTTATTTATTATTGTATCAAAACTTTTGAAGTGCCCCTCGCTTATACGGAAGGTTCGTGACCTTTGTATTGGTCTTCCTTTCATACTGCGTATCATGGATCTTTTATCATTTTCAATAAATATGGTTTGCAGTCATGGGAACCAGCCATGCTATTTGTGTGATTTCTGCATTTCCTGCGATTCCTGTTCTGCGGATCCCCAACATTTATATTGCGAAAAAACAATGCTTTCTGAAGTCCACAAAGCGCTCCGTAGTGCGGCACATCGGAAGTCG